TTCAGGTATCTTTTCAAATTAGAGTTTTTTTCTGGATATATACCAAGGAGTAAAGAGTTGCTGGATCATATTGTAACTCTATTTTTAGTTTTGTAAGGAACCTCCATGCTGCTTTCTATAGTGGCTGTACCAATTTGCATTCCCACCAGCAGTGTTGAGGGTTCCCTTTTCTCTACACCTCTTCAGCATTTGTTATGTATAGACTTTCTAATGACCTGTTGAAGTGATACCTGATTGCAGTTTTGGTTTGCAGTCTCTAGTAATTAGCAAAATTGGACATTTTTCATATGCCTATTGGCCATCTGTGTGTTTTATTAGAGAAATGTCTATTTAGGTCTGCCCATTTTGGGATTGGGTTTCCTTTTTTTGTTATTGAGTTGTGTGAGCAGTTTATGTATTTTGGAAATTAAGCCCTTGTCAGTTGCATCATTTGCAAATATCTTTCCCAGTCTGGGGTCTGTCTTTGCATTTTGTTTACAGTTTCCTTTCTTTGCAAACACTTGTAAGTTTAATTAGATCCCATTCATTTATTTTTGTTTTTATTTCTATTGCCTTAGGAGACAGACCTAAGAAAACATTGCAACAGTTCATGTTAGAGAATGTGTTGCCAGTGTTGTCTTTTACCAGCTTTATTGTGTCATGTCTTGGGCTTCTCTTGTGGCTCAGCTGGTAAAGAATCCACCTGCAATGTGGGAGACCTGGGTTCAATCCCTTGGTTGGGAAGATCCCCTGGAGAAGGGAAAGGCTACCCACTCCAGTATTCTGGCCTGGAGAATTCCATAGATTACAGTCCACGGGGTTGCAAAGAGCTGGACATGACTAAGCAACTTTCACTTCACTTATATTTAAGTCTTTAAGCTGTTTTGAGTTTTATTTTGGTGTATGATATGAGGGAGTGTTCTGATCTCTCTGGTTTACATGCAGCTTTCCAGCTATCTCAACACAGTTTGCTGAAAAGACTGTTTTCCCTCCATACTATATTTTATTCTTGCTCCCTTTGTCAAAGATTCAATGACCACAGGTGTATAGGTTTATTTCTGGGCTTTCTATTCTGTTCCATTGATTCATATATCTATTTTTGTGCCAATACTGTGTTGTTTTGATTATTGTCACCTTGTAATATTGCCTGAGGCCTGGGAGGGTTAAGCCTCCAGTTTTGATCTTTTTCCTCAGGATTGCTTTGGTAATTCTGGGTCTTTCATGAGTCCATATAAATTTTAGGATTATTTGTTCTAGTTCTGTGAAAAATGTCATGTGTAATTTAAGAGAGATAACGTTAGTTCTGTAGATTGCTTTGGGTAAGTATGGTCATTTTAACAATATTAATTCTTCCAGTCCAAAACCATGAACTTTCTTTTTATTTCTTTGAATCAGCCTCAGTTTCTTTTATCAATGTCTTAGAGTTCTCCACGTGTAAGTCTTTAACCTCCTTGGTCAAAGTTTTTTTGTTTGTTTTTTATGTGATTTTAAAAGTCACACTGTGAGTGTAAAGAAATGCAGGTCTCCCGCATTGCAGGCAGATCCTTTATCAACTGAGCCACCAGAGAAGCCCAGTGTAAAGAAATGCGGCAGATTTCTGTATGGTAATTTCGTATCCTGTTACTTTACTGAGTTTGTTGATCTCGTAGTTTTTGTGTGGAGTCTTTAGGGTTTTCTATGTATAGAATCATGTCATCTGCCTGTAATGACAGTTTTACCTCTTCCCTTCTAATCTGGGGGCTTCCTTAGTGGTTCAGATGGTAAAGCATCTGTCTGCAATGCAGGAGACCCGGGTTCAACCCCTGGGTTGGGATGGTCCCCTGGAGAAGGAAATGGCAGCCTACTCCCAGTATTCTTGCCTGGAAAATCCCATGGACCACGGAGTCTGGTAGGCTACCATCCATGGGGTGGCAAAGAGTCAGACATGGCTGAGCGACTTCACTTTCACTTTCACGTTTCTAATCTGGGTACCTTTTGTATCCTTTTCTTGTCTGACTCCTGTGGGTAGAACTTCCAATACTATGTTGAATAGAAGTGGTGAGACTGGGCATCCTTGTCTTATTACAGATCTTAGTGAGGGATGGCTTTTAGCTTTTCACTGTTGAGTATTATGTTGACTTTGGGCTTGTAATAAACAGTTTCTATTATATTGAGATGTGTTTCCTTAACACCCACTTTGATAAGAGTTTTTGTCATGAATGGATGTTGAATTTTATCAGATGCTTTTTCCACCTCTGTTGAAATGATTATGTGGTTTTCTCTTTTCTTTTGTTGATGTGGTGTATCACATTGATTGATTTGCATACATCGAACCATCCTTGTGACCTGGGGATAAATCCAATATGATTATCTTGTATGATTTTTTTTCTTGGATTTGATTTGCTAATTTTTGTTGAGAAATTTTACATCTGTATTCATTCAAGATATCAGCCTGTAATTTTCTTGTTTGGTATTATCTGGTTTTGGTATCAGGGTGATATGATGACTTAAGTTCTTCTTTATATGTTTGGTAGAATTCCCCAGTGAAGCCATCTCTGTGTTCTGAATTTTTAAATAAAATGTAATATAGCCTGTGTCAGTACTTTCTTTTTATAGCTGAATAGTATTCCATTGTGTGGATTCTCCATTAACATTATCACACCTAACAAAATCTGCAATCCTTTTTGCATCACCTAATATCTTGATCATCTTCAGTTTCTCCAAGATCCAGTCTGGTATTGTACATTGCAGTTGTGTACATTCTGTTAATCTTCTTTTCTCGAGTCATTCTTTGTTTTATGGGATTGACTAGCTGCAGACACCATGCTAGTTATCACAGAATACCCCACCTCCTGGGTTTGTTTGAATGTTTCCTTGTGGAGTTCCTAGCTTTTTCTTCTGTCCTCTGTATTTCATATAAAATGTGATTAGATTCCTGTTAATCATTTTGGCTAGGATGTACACTTCATTGTATCTCACTGGGAAACACATGATATGTATTTCACTATTTATAATGCTGAGATTGATGATTGAATGAGAGTGATAGCAGTTTGATTCCTCCATTGTGAATTTTATCTTTTTTCAGTCCTTACAAGTAAGAAGTAATCTTTATTGTATTACTTTGGTACCATACAATGTCTAATTCTTCATCAATCTTTTGTTTGATGATTAAAACACTGATAATCATTGCCTTAATCAGTAATTTCATGAAATATTGCAACATAATTTCTTATTCTGTCATTCTACCTACATTCATAATTGTCATTTTTCTATAAAGAAGAGCTTTTCCTTTTCACTTGGAGCTATCTGCCTCTCCTGAACCATCGATCACTCTTTGAAACCAAAACAACAACAATCAAAATTTACTTGTCTTCTCCCCAATAGTTTTAAAGAAAGGGTTGATGTTATAGCTGCCTCCTTGAAATTGAAATCGCTGGCATTCAGTTGCAGGTATTTTGTAGTTACCACTATGGTGTTCTGTTTGCTGCTGCCGGTAAGTTGCTTCAGTCGTGTCTGACTCTGTGCAACCCCCTAGACGGCAGCCCACCAGGCTCCCCCGTCCCTGGCATTCTTCAGGCAAGAACACTGGAGTGGGTTGCCATTTCCTTCTGCAGTGCTTGAAAGTGAAAAGTGAAAGTGAAGTCGCTCAGTCGTGTCCAATTCTTAGCTACCCCATGGACTGCAGCCCTACCAGGCTCGTCCATCCATAGGATTTTCCAGGCGAGAGTGCTAGAGTGGGGTGCCATTGCCTTCTCCGGGTGTTCTGTTTAAGTTTATGGATTAAACAAAAGTTGGGTTTGTGAGAGTTTTGAGCTTCCAGACAGGTTTCTTTTTTTGTTAGTGTTTTTCAAGTTAATGTTTTTGTAGTTAAACAATATATATGAAATAATATTATATATATATATACAATATATATTGTATATATAGTACATTCTGTTATATATTGTATATATTATAATATGTATTATATATATATTTCAATATATATATGAAAATAATACTGTGATCAGACTGGGGCCTGTGTTAAATTGAATTTCGAAGTTTAGAGACAGCTTGTATAACCTAATATGATCAGTTTTTTAATTAATGTTTTCATGTGGTCTTGAAAAGAATATTCCTGTTCTTTATAATTGAATGAAAAGTCCTAAATCAAGACTATTAGTAATATTAATAATGTTATTTGAAACACTCATATCCCTATTTTTTTGTCTGCTTGATCTATTAGCCATTTAGAGAGATTTGTTAAAAATCTATTAGGATTATAGATTTTTCCATTTGTACTCACACTTTTCAGGATTTACTTTGTATATTTTGAGCCTATGATTCTATCTTTAGGTAGCTTCATGATTGTTAAATTATCTTTTTGGATGGCTCCTTTAGCAACAAACTCTTGTCTCTTTGTTAATTAATCAGTGCTTATTTTTAAGTTTACTTCTGGCTGTGCTTTGTTGCTGTGGCTTTTCTCTGGTTGTGGTGAGTGGGCTTCTCTCCAGCTGCAGCGGGCAGGCTTCTCATCGCGGGGCCTCTCCTGTTGTAAAGCGCAGGCTCTCGGCTTCAGGGCTTCGGTAGCTGCAGCGCCTGGGCTCCGGAGCTGTGGCCTCATGGTTTTGGCGCGCAGACTCAGTAGTGGCTCACGGGCTTAGTTACTCTGTGGCTTGTGGGGTCTTCCTGGACCAGGGGTGGAACCCGTGTCCCCTGCATTGGCAGGCAGATCCTTTACGACTAAGCCATCAGGGAAGCCTGCCTTGTCCCTTTAAAATGCTGCTTATTTAAAATACATGGTGTTAATAAATAACCACAGCAGATTTCTGATGGGCATTTTCCTGATTTTTTAAAAATTTCCTCTGCATTTATTTCTGCCCTAATTTTTAAGATTTCTTTCCTTCTACTAACCCTGGGGTTCTTCATTTCTTCCTTCTCTAGTTGCTTTAGGTGTAGAGTTAGGTTATTTATTTGACTTTTTTCTTGTTTCTTGAGGTAAGTCTGTAATGCTATGAACCTTCCCCTTAGCACTGCTTTAAATTTTTGTGTTGTTTTGTTTTAGGCATGTGTCTTATAAGCAGTATACAGCAGAATTTTAAGCCAGTCTGAGTCTCTGTTTTTCAGTAGGTGAGTTTACATTTATATTTACTCTGATGATACAATTGAATTTAGTTTTGCCATCTTCTCTTGTGCTTTTCCATTTGCCATGCATTTTCTCTGCTTTTTTTTTTTTCCTCTTCTCCTGTCCTCTGTTGAACTATTAGCTTGCTTTGTTTCTTTTATTTCTTAATCTGCGTAGAAATGTATATGTTCTGTATCTGTTCTTTCAGTGGTCACTCTGAAGGTTAATATGCATTAAGTGAAACTCTCTTTATGCAACCATGTCATTTTTCTATAGTATTTTGGATTAACTTTTTAACCACACCAAAAAGTACTTTTTGTGCTCTCCTTTACTCTGTGTATTTGTTAGTTTTCTTTATCTTTCAATAATCTCTTTATTTACCTTTGTTTCTTGCATTCCTTTCCTTCCTCCTGAGATCATTTTTCTTCATACTAAAATACATTCCCTTGATACTTCTTTTAGCTAGAGTTTGTGCACTTTATCAGTCCTGATCTGTTTCAGAATGTTATTTCATCTTCATTTCACCTGAACTCTCTAACATTCACCTGTAAATTATGTACAATAAAACCAGTTGGCCCACAGTATAGGGTTATTGGGGGTAACTAATAATATTTGTTGAAACACTTTATAAACTGTTTTGTGTGTATATATAATGCTATTATTATTACCTAATATACCTCCTGAAAATGAAAGTGTTAGTCGCTCAGTTGTGTCTGATTCTTTGAGACCTCATGGACTGTAGCCCACCAGGCTCCTCTGTCCATGGAATTCTCCAGGCAAGAATACTGGAGTAATACTTCTCCAGGGAATCTTCCCACTCAGGGATCAAACCCAAGTCTCCTGCATTGCAGGCGAATTCTTAACCATCTGAGTTACCAGGGAAGCCCAATATATATCCTATTAGAGTTATATTAGAATTACTGTGTTTTGAATGGATTTTAAAAAGCATCACTTACTGTATTGAGATCATATTTACTAAGATAAAAGAGAATACCTACTAGAAATACCATGAATTGTACTTGCTCACTCCTTGGGAGAAGAGCAGCTGGGATAAGATGAAATTAGGGGCCCTAACTGCCAACTTCAGTTACTACCATTCAGTAGAAATTTGAGACATGCAAGCATGAAGTCCAATTGTTTTACTTTGTTTTTATCTATTTGCAAAGACAATGCACAAATGGTGTGGAAAATTCAAATGATAAGAAAAGAAGAGGAAAGAAAGAAATCTTTCCAGAAATCCCACAATTGAAACTGTTGACATATTGGAACACATCCTTCTAGAACACATCTTCCTCTGCGTGTATAGCTATATGGATTTATAGAGACTTGTCTTTTCCTTTTTCAAAAGGAATCTTACTATATATGCAGTTTCGCTACTGCATTTCTCACTTAGTAATTATCAAAGGAATTTAAATGAACATCATTGTATATAACATTGAATAAATGTATAGGGTCGAGAAGATCTCCTGGAGGGGGACATGGCAACCCATCCAGTATTCTTACCTGGAGAATCTCATGGACAGAGGAGCCTGGCAGGCTACAGTCCATACGGTCGCAAAGAGTTGGACACAATTGAAGCAACATAGCATGCACATACTATTGTATGGATGTGTCATAATTTTATTTAATCAGTTCCCTATTGTGAGGCTTTAAAATTATTTTTATTCTATAATGTATGCACAGTTGCCTGAAAATGTCTTTAAGATAAGTTGCTTGCAGTGATATTAGTTAAAGAGCGTGCACATTCACATTTTTTTATACATTATCTAATTTTTCTCTCCAGAAAGTGTCCAAGAATGCCCCTTATCCTCACGCAAACTGAGTATTGTCATTTTTTCCCTTTAAGTTTCCAGTTTGAGATTTTTATCAATATCCCTGCTTACTATCATTTGAGTATCTTACTGAGTGAGTTTGAGTATCTTTTCTTGTTTTATCGATTTTTTGTAAAATGTTCCTTTTGGTCATTTATTCTCTTTTTGCGTTTCTCCATTGCTTATTAAGCTGTGTGGACCTTTTTCTTATTTGGCTTATAAGTTCTTTATTATAAATATCCTGGGTTTTTTTTTTTTAATCTTTCAACTTTGTGCTTTTTATTATGTTACTGTTTTTTGATTTTTTGGGTTTCAATCTTGTTCAAGAATTTTTTGAAATTTTTATTTGATCAAAATTTCCTTTATGAGTTCTGGGTTGTTTCCTTACATGGGATAACTGAAAGTTCTTCCCCACTTCAAAATTACTAGAATGTTCTCTCATATTTTCTTTTAATGCTCTTACCAGTTTATTTTTCTCCCATTTAGAATCTTTAACCTGTTTGGAGTGTTTTTGGTATAAGGAGTGATATATATATATATGATATATGTGTATATATATCACTACCTTCCTGTTTTTCACATTCTGTTCTGCCTTTTAAACTTGACTGATAAAAATCAAGGTACATTGAACATCCTGAATCGTGGCAAGAAGTGAGATGTGCTGTATGGTTTTCAGTTTACTAATGTGTCTTGGGTATTTGTGAGCAGAATCGGAGGCTCAGAGGGGGAAAGAGTGGATTGGGAAGAAGTTGACAGTCTCATGTCTGGGTTACCTTGTATGTACGTGCGTGAAATAGAATTAAAGAGAGGATACAAGCAAAATGTCTCTTAGAAGTTCTGTGTTTCACTTCTTTTAATGACCCTGAGTTCTTTATCAAGGGAAGTGGAGCTGTGGTAAGAAGACATAAGACACCAGCTAACGTGAGGACCTAGAGGGTTTGCATCTTGAATACCAAGTGCCCTTCATGATAAATCCATGAACTTTATGAATTCTGTGAACTGTTGGGGTTTTCTTTAACTATTTTTTCAGCACATGTTTCACTTTAGAAAGAAATTGGAATAGGGAACAAGATTCCCTTTCCTTCTCTGACCTCTGATCCCCTGACCCATAAGTGAATGCTTGTTAAGCTTCTTGTATATCTTACAGAAATTGCAAGCATTATTTTGACTGCTACGTGCTATCAAATGCTCAGTTGGTGAAATTGAAGGTCTTTCACTCAGAAGAGAAAAACCAGGAAAGAAGGTAAGAAATAGAAATCTGTTTATGGCTTTGAAACATACATTTCTTCAAGTTAAGAACAATTCATCAAGATAATTTCTTTAGGACAGTCCCTTTCAACAACAAAAATCAGTTTAATGAACATAAACAGGAAGAAACAGATGCCAAGGGTGGAATATGGCTCGTGATGACAGCTTCTGTTTGTTGTATACCTGACACTGGCCAGATGCTTTGCACACACTGTCACTAATTCACACCATATTGACATCTTCAGTGCAGAGATGAAGAAACTGAGGCTTCCAGAGAGAAATAACATGCCCTGAGCTTGCCCTGGTTGGTAAAGAACAGAGTTGGATTTGGACTCTAGTCTTCACCTTTGGAGCCACCTGTGTTGTGGGTAACCTGAAGTCTGTTCCAGCCAGGCCTGAAAGACCTTCCCCCCACTTTTGAAATAGACCATTCCTTTTCTTTTTTCTGCTCTTTTGTTCATAGGCCCATAAGCAATAGATGTAATAACACAGACACAATTTCACATTTGTGAACTATGGCTTGTAGAATGCATATAGGATAACTTTTATAGTAATATTTGCTGTTTTGAATTCTTTGCATTATTGAAGAGTCTCTGGGCCTCCATTTCTGTGTGTGCATTACTCAGGATCCTTCTATTTGTCCTTAATTTGTTATAATTTGTTGATTCATTAGAATGAGATGTAAAACTGACATTTGATCATGGTTGTAATTAATGTACAGGCATCAGTGGTTGAGATTAGATGGTGCTTGCCCCCTAGGGTTATGCTGTGTCTAGTGGGCAGGTGAGGGGATAGAGCAAGAAGATATTAATTTCTTCCATAATTCTCATTCAAGGTCTGTTCTGTTTCAGGTTTCTCTGGGAACTGGCTGGGTAAGATATTAATGGGGAGAAGGAAGGATGGGGTAGGATGGGCAGACCTATATTTTATCCTTATACAAATAGAAATGTCGTATCAAACATCATGTTCGTTGCACTTCTTCTGTAGGTCTGTCTCTGTCTTGTACTTTGTTGTTGTTCAATTGTTAAGTCATGTCTGACTCTTTGCTCATGGACTGCAGCACACCAGGCTCCTCTCTCTTCCTTCATTATCTTCCAGAGTTTGCTCAAACTCATGTCCATTGAGTTGGTGATGCTGTCGAACCATCCTATCCTGTGCCGCCCTCTTTTCCTTTCACCTTCAAACTTTCTCAGCATCAGGGTCTTTTCCAGTGAGTCAGCTCTTAACATCAGGTGGCCAAAGTATTGGAGTTTCAGCTTCAGCATCAGTCCTTCCAATGAATATTCAGGGTTGATTTCCTTTGAGATTGACTGGCCTGATGTCCTTGCAGTCCAGGGAACTCTGAAGAGTCTTCTCCAGCCCCCACAATTCCAAAGCATCAATTCTTCAGCACTCAGCCTTTTTTATGGGCCAACTCTCATAACCATACATGACCACTGGAAAAACCATAGCTTGGACTATTCAGACCTTTGTTGGCAAAGTGGTGTCTCTACTTTTTAATATGGTGTCTAGGTTTGTTATAGTTTTCCCTCCAATGAGCAAGTGTTTTTTAATTTCATGGCTTCAGTCACCATCCACAGTGATTTTGGAACCCAAGAAAATAAAATCTGTCACTGCTTCTGCTTTTTCCCCTTCTATTTACTGTGAAGTGATGGGACCAGATGCCATGATCTTCGGTTTTTTTCATGTTGAGTTTTAAGCAACTATTTTGACGCTTGTGAAAAGAAGAACATCCTTTGCCAATAAGGCCATAGGATATAAGTGGAAAGGCAGGGCACATAAACAAACATGAAACCAAACTAGAGAGTTTGCTGAAGCATTCCACTGTACTATGTGACTTAAAATATAAAAAACATTAGAGATAGGAAAGATTATTGTGGCCAGAAGTAGTCAGGGCAGCTAAGATATGGCCAGATGGAAAGGAGAAGGAGTCTTGAGATCCTGTCATTTTTATATATATTAAGAGACTAAAGAGGGGCTTCCCTGATAGCTCAGTTGATAAAGAATCCACCTGCAATGCAGGAGACCCCGATTGGATTCCTGGGTTGGGAAGATCCTCTGGAGAAGGGATAGGCTACCCGCTCCAGTATTCTTGGGCTTCCCTTGTGGCTCAGCTGGTAAAGAATCCACCTGCAATGCTTGAGACCTGGGTTCAATCCCTGGGTTGGGAAGATTCCCTGGTGAAGGAAAAGACTACCCACTCCAGTATTCTGGCCTGGAGAATTCCATGGACTGTATAGTCCGTGGAGTTGCAAAGAGTTGGACACAACTGAGCGACTTGCACTTTCACTTTCGAGAGACAGAAGAACTGTGTGTCCAAAGACCTAAGATAAACCCAAGGGTAGAACCCTTGGTAAACCAGTCTTTCTAAGTAATCACATTAATGTATGTCCTCCATGGCAAATTCTGGGTTCCCAGGAGCCCTTCCCCCAGATAATTGTAGGTGAAAGGTCATCATCAAGAAGCTTCCTCAGCCTGCCCTTTGTGTTAGGTGATCTGTCTTACCCTGAAGTCCCTTGGCACTTGCCGTAAACAGTTTGTACTCCATCATTGTGACATGTTTATGTGTTGTCTTGGAATCTGTTCTCCTCCCATTCCTTCTTCCTTTGGCCTCCTTAGTGCCTGGGGCAGTCTGCGGATGTAGAAGGTCTAATAACAGTGCATGAATGCCTTTGGACTGAGGCCCATGATCTTGGCACCAGGAAAGCCCTCTGGGGTCCCGAATTGTAAACCAACCTCATGCTTGAGATCCAAAACAGAGCTGAGCTTGAGATGTGAATGCCCCATGTCTCCTAACTCCATTTTCTTGTCTCAGATGGAATTTCTGTGTTTAAGAGTTCTAGGAGATTCCATCGTATCCTATGCAGGATTTCTGAACAGATTAGAATGGGAAACACATGAAAACTCATACTACAGACAGACCTTTAATTTAAGCACTTGCTGTCCAGACTGATCATTGAGTTAGATCAAGTGAGTTAGAAAGGGGGCGGGGGTGGCAAGAAAAAGGCAAGAAATATGAGGCAAGAAAAAGCTATTTCATAGCCTTGTGCATTTAAAAACCCCAGAGATGGTTATTCTGTTTATCTTTAGAAGACTCACCTTTCAGGGGAAGTATCTCCACTTTATCTCATCCCATATCAAGCAGGTCACCAAGAATAATTGTAGCCCTTTTCTTACTCTAGATTTGCTAGAATCATGTCAGATCCCACAGCTAAGAAAGACCTTTGGTCTGTCTGAAAGACCCTTGGACATGTCACTGATAATATCTCTTCACATTAATGGTTTTGTTGCTGATAATATTTCTTTGCAGTAATGATTTTATCCTGGATATCCAGAGGGACAGAAAGAGATGAGTAATGGAGGAGGGGAGTTACAAAATAAATCTACAGTAAAAATAAAACAAATCGCTTCTCTACTGTTATAAAAAAGAAGTAAAGAATTATTTCAACAGTTATTTATGTCAAGCAGGAAGTATTAATTTTCCCCAAATAATTAAGAATATGTTTTTAACATTGGTCTTGATATAAAATGCTGAAATATACTTTTGGTTGTGGGTTTCCATTTGCTTATAGTTAAATGAAGTTAAGTGGACTCAGGTCATGGTATTTGGTTTTGCTTCGATGCATTTGTTTTCCCAATTCTTTTTCTTTTAAGGAGATGATCGGGTGTCATTTGAAAATGTGTTTCCGGTGATGGCATACTGAGCAGATCTTTGATAAATCTTCCAGAACCCGAGGCTTGCATGCTTCTGAGCTTCTGTGAATGGCCCCGGCACTCCTGACCACTCTTCCGGCTAGGATGTCGCTCAGATCCCTGAAATGGAGCCTCCTCCTGCTGTCGCTGCTGAGTTTCCTGGTGATGTGGTACCTCAGTCTGCCGCACTACAATGTGATAGAACGTGTGAACTGGATGTACTTCTACGAGTATGAGCCCATTTACAGACAAGACTTCCGCTTCACGCTGCGAGAGCATTCAAATTGCTCTCATCAGAACCCATTTCTCGTCATCCTGGTGACCTCACACCCCTCAGACGTGAAAGCCAGGCAGGCCATTAGGGTTACCTGGGGTGAAAAGAAGTCTTGGTGGGGCTATGAAGTTCTTACGTTTTTCTTATTAGGCCAACAGGCTGAAAAGGAAGACAAAGGGTTAGCTTTATCCTTAGAGGATGAACACCTCCTTTATGGGGACATAATACGACAGGATTTTTTAGACACATACAATAATCTGACCTTGAAAACCATAATGGCATTTAGGTGGGTAACTGAGTTTTGCCCCAACGCCAGGTATATCATGAAGACAGACACTGATGTTTTCGTCAATACTGGCAATTTAGTGAAGTATCTTTTAAATTTAAACCACTCAGAGAAGTTTTTCACAGGTTATCCTCTAATTGATAATTATTCCTATAGAGGATTTTACCAAAAAACCCATATTTCATACCAGGAATATCCCTTCAAGGTGTTCCCGCCTTACTGCAGTGGGTTGGGTTATATAATGTCCAGAGATTTGGTGCCGAGAATCTATGAAATGATGAGTCACGTAAAACCCATCAAGTTTGAAGATGTTTATGTTGGGATCTGTTTGAATTTATTAAAAGTGGACATTCATATTCCAGAAGACACCAACCTTTTCTTTTTATATAGGATCCACTTGGATGTCTGTCAGCTCAGACGTGTGATTGCAGCCCATGGCTTTTCTTCCAAGGAAATCATCACATTTTGGCAGGTTATGCTAAGGAACACCACGTGTCATTATTAATTTGACATTCTACCCAAGCCTAGAGAAGGGAGGGATACTTTGTAGAAAGTGTTAACGTTAGACTATGAAATCGCCAATGAAAAACCCATGAGATGGTCACTGTGTGGCTTACACAAAGCTGAAACTCATGTAGAGCCTATAGACTGGAGACTGTAGGGTTGCACTTGGCCTGTGGTTTATTATGACAACAATCAATCAAGCCTTTTAAAAGTGATATTCAGAGGAATTAAAATCTTATAAAGGAATGGGAAGTTTTTTTTTTAATAAAACTAATAGGGCCAAACAGTTTGAACATGTCATTCTATAGACTAGAGCTTCTTAAATGGGTTTCATTGAATTATAAGCTCATTTATCCATAACAACAAAACAGTGTGCAGTATTATTCATGAGGCATCTAGTCAGTTCAGGGTTTTGTGTATCTCTTCATGGATTACTAGTTTTTTTTAAATATACAGTTCTGTGTAAAAGAAACTGAAGTTATTTCTGAACAAAGTTTAATCTGTTTTTGGTCATTTGGAAGATATTTCAAGATGCTGCAGTATTAAAGAGTTATTAATTATTATTTAATAATACTTAGAGTTTTACACTTTATGGATGTTTGAATGTTTTGGTTTCAATACTGCATAAACAGAATAAACTTTTTTTCCAGTTAAAAAAAAAAATCCATTGTCACATAGCCTTATGCCCCTCATGAATCCAACTAAATAAGGGGCGCAAAATAATGTTTCTTTGACCACATGTTTCCAACCACATTAGAGCAGATAATAGTTAGTTTCAAGCCTAATTCAGACACAGAGACAGAGAGAGGATGCTATGAATGATGTCTCTGCCCGATAAAACAATATATTCTGGCCTCTTTATTACTTAATAATCTGTATTTCACCAATAAGAGCGATCAGAATGGCATACATGCAGTATCTTTTTTTAACAAGGATAATGTTCAAGTTCTGCAGTACATATTTGAAATGCATGGATTATGGATTACACTAAATTTACTTGTGGAAGGCAGAGACTGGTCTCTATAGAAGGCTATAAACACTGTAAATGAACAAGAGTAGGGGGATATTGAAAAATAGCAGAGGTCCAATCAGATATTCTAAACTACCTGGAAGAGGAAGTGATTATCTTTATGAAAATATAACACTAACAAAGCTGGAAAACTTAAGATAATATGAATTCCCATTTGGGAAAATAAGTACAGTTTAGTTATTTTCTGCATGTCTACCTTGTTCATGCATATTATTTTCACATAGTATCCTTATGATTAATACTGTAACTCTGAAAAATCACTTAGCTCTTAGAACACTCATACATTTGTAATTTTCCTGTAAAAAAGCTTAGTTTGAATTAGAAGTGTTGTAACGTGTGATTTCTTATAACAAGGCTGTTTCCATTTCCCTCATCTCAGACCTGATCCAGTCACAATAAAATCATAAAATAAATTAAATATTCTGTGGAATCAATCCATGCCCTTACTAATTCCCACCCATCTGGGAGTCACTTTCTCTAAGACACAGGTGGTGGTTTTTTTGTAGTAGGATTAGATTTGATTGAATTTGTGTTGTTTATATTCATGTTTGGGAAGCTAACTCAAAGAAGTTTTAAAGAGAACTTGTGAAATAAAAGATAGTGTCCCTTCACTTTTAAGACTAAAAAAAGAAGTAAAATGTGAATAATTGCTAAGTTTTAGAAGATTTTTTCCTTTTCAACTACAGATTGGTGCTTAAGAGATCTCTAAAGAATTAAATGATTATGAAAAACATTAAGAGGTCAGGTCATTTTATTTATTTTTTTAACTTCATATTTGTTTCCAAGTAGTATTAATCAGCTGTATTATTAAAATCTTGGCCTCTGATGTTTAACCACATCAGCACTTTTTATTTTAACTGATAACAAAGTTCAATACAGGAGCCTAACCTCAGGCTGCTTCTCTTCTACCATCCACAGCCCTGCCATCCCCGTGGTCTTACATACTCTCTGTCTCACTCATTTATTTGCCCCGTAAGCATTGAGTCTGGGACCCAAGCATGTTAACTTCTGCCAGATTATGCTGCAAGAACAGATCCCAGAAGTCGTTAACAACCGTGTGTTCTTTTCACCCATACCGTACGCCTCTGGTTACTTTGGCATGCCATCCTGGTTACTGTATGTGTCTTCTCACCTCAGGGTCTGGTTGAAGGACAGCCCTTGTCTGGACCTTGTCATCCTTATCAAGGGAAGGGGAAAGAGCTGGTGGGAACACTGGCATCTATATCCACTGACCAAAGCAAATATGCCAAGGCCAGTGTCACTGGTGACTGGGGATGGGGGGATTTGGTCTCACTGGAAATAGTCCAAGTCATGTTTTGGCAGCCAGGAGTATTTTGTTCTTTTACAGGATGGGGAAGGGAATAGTTGGGTCCAATAATCTACTTCCCTGGTGGCTCAGATGATAAAGAATCTGCCTACAATGCAGGAGGCCTGGGTTGGGGAAATCCCTCGGAGGAGGGCATGGCAACCCACTCCAGGATTCTTGCCTGGAGAATCCCATGGACAGAGGAGCCTGGCGGGCTACAGTCCATGGGGTCACAAAGCGTCATGACTGAGCGACTAAGCACAGCAGAGTCTGCCACACCTCGTGTGTGAAAAGGAGAAGGGGCTCGGGGGTCTGGTCTCTGAGGCCAGCGCCGGGGGACCAGAGGTTTTCCGGCTCACTTAGAGACAGTGAGCCCTTCCCTGAGAGGGCTGCCCTTTCTCCCTCCTTAATCTCCCCCCGGTTTTTGTTTAGTTGTTTTTGGCTTTTTGTTTTTCCATTCACTTGGCCGGTTGAGGGGCGGCCGGGTTTGGGTTTTTTTTACCGTTTTTTTTGCTTGTGGGTTTGGGGTTAAGGTTTTTTTTTTTTGGGTTTTGTTGGGCGTTTATTTCAGGATATGCAGTGGGAGAGAGAGGCATTGGAAGGGGGCCAGCTTTGAGGCTGCAAGGGTGAATGGAAGAAATGTAGCAGAACTGCATCTTTGGGGTTCTTTGTATCCACTAGGAATTAGTCTTTATATTAAGCCAACTCCTCTGGGTTTTGTGTAGGCTGTTAGAACCCTCTCACATTCTCTCTCAGTTCCCATGTGTAGTTAATACAGGACAGATCCTTTAAGGAGTCAAAACAGGAGGCCTGTGGTGATGGAGGTGTTGGTAGGAGACAGAAGCAAGCATGGGAATATGGGTCCTGAGAGGCAAGAGGCAGTTTGAGTGGGCAGTCCCTTGGAAAGAGGCAACTCATGGGTCTTAGAAAGTCAAAGGAGGGCCCAACAAGAATGGGTACCATCGCTCTGTATTTAAGGTGAATGACAGGCACAGAACTTGCACTCGGATAGTCTCCCCTCACATCTAACCTTGCTTCCACATTTGTAAGCCCTTACCCCTCCTTTAGGTTTTCAGTGAATAATTTCTAAAATGTCTCGTCAACTTAGCCCTCCACGTGGGAGGAAGGGTGGAGGTCAGTGCTACTTACATTTTACCCTTAAAGGACCCTCTACACAACATTTTTCCAGATTAAAAAATCAAGATCCCTCATGGTGAATTACATCATTCTCTTAAAATGCTGCAGCAGCTGCACCAAAGGTTTTAAATCCCACTCTTCCCCTTCTCCCTAACATATATAGAAACCACACAGAAACAAGCAGAAGAAAACGTCGAACTGGTAGCAGGAATTGCCTCTCAACAATTGCTACCTTTAAAGTACCTTTCATCACTTCTTTCTCAACAAGAAGGATGCATTACTTTTATAACACAATTGTTTTAACAATATATGAACAGATTTGTTTTTGTGTTGTGCTTAGTTTGCTCAGCTGTGTCTGACTCTTTTGCACCCCCATGTAGCAAAGGCTATGTAGCCCGCCAGGCTCCTCTGTCCATGGGATTCTCCAGGCAAGAATCCTGGAGTGCGTTGCATGCCCTCCTCCAGGGGATCTTCCCAACCCAGGGATCAAACCCAGGTCTCCCACATTGCAGGTGGATTTTTTACCCTCTGAGCCACCAGAGAAGCCCATTAACAAATTAGGGTAAAGGCAAAAAAGCAGGGTCAGAAAATGTCATGGGGAAACGCTGGCGGGGTTCAAGGTCAAAAGCTGGGCTCGCTGCTGAGCCATCGGGCCCTTCTGCCCCGCCCCCTTTCTCCCACAGCTGAGGCTTGTGAATAAATACAAGGCAGTAGGTTCCCAGGTGAAACCAAGCAACTCTGACTGGGACTTGAATGAGCTTGTCTTTTAGTCAAAATTGCTCCAGGACTTACTGAAGCTCAGGTTCTCTGTTCGCAGAAAGAGTTCCATGAGAGACAAAGTGATAGGGAAGAAGTGGATTTATTAAGAGAGATATATAGTCCACAGACAGAGCGTGCTCCGTCTCAAGGCCCCAGGATTTGGGATCATCTTGGAAAGTGAGAGCGGCCCTGGGAGAAACACACTGCAGAGACAGGAACCAAGACCGTCCCAAAAGGTAAGAGCACCCCTGGAGGATAGTTTTTGTGGGCTGTGGCATTTCATGTGCTAACTACAGTGGGAGGATTATTTCAAATCTTTGGGGAAGGAGCAGAGATTTTCAGGATTTGGGCCACTGCCCACTTTTTGACCTTTTCTGGTTGGCCTCAGAGATGTTACGGTGTTGGTGGTGTGTTATTTAGCTTGTGCTATTACAGTGAGTACATAATGAGGCTCAAGATCTGTGGGGAGGTGAACCTTCCGCCATCTTGGGCCTAGTCGGTTTTAGCCAGTTTATGCCATATTTTCAAGGGCTGTGTAATTCTTTTAAAGGTTGTGTCCTGCCCACTTCCCTCCTGTTTCACAGGGGCCGTCTACTGGGCTCCTGTGGGCTGTTCCGGCCTCATTTTAAAAAAAAAAAAGGAGAATGCCTCCTTCTCCTTCATTAGAGGTTCCATCTATACTGCTGGGATCTGCAGCTTCCATGCTGATCCCTGAGGCTAAAGGCCAAGGCAGTGAGCTGAAGCGGCAAGTCCAGGCTGACATTCTTCTAGGCTCTGGGGGTGTGTCATAACCATGCCTTGGGATGTAGTGGGTCCAGGGGTCAGTTCCTCACAGCTGAGGGGAATCTGACTAGGGACATGGGAACAGTTTGCCTGACTGGAGTGGGCTGTGCTCACAGTTGAGTGGGAAGCTGTAAGAACATAAGAATTCCTCTGGGGTAGAGAGGAAACAGCTGGCTCATGACTTGGGGGCTCTGGGGCTCCAGTTTGGATGGTGCTGGGGGCCAGGTAGGGCAGTGAGTCTGTGGGGGCAGGGGGGCAGGAAGCCAGGGAGGGAGCCCTAAGGAGTCTTTACGCAGCTCACTGTGAAGCCGGCTCTTCTCATTTGGGAGAAGAGATGCCAGGGCCTCATCTGTTTGCCTTTCGTGGTTTACTCCCCGTGTCATCCGAGGAGGTTTGCTTTATGAACTTACACAAAGTAGTTTCAGGATTTGATGATAATACCATTCACTCTACCCTCTTCATAAATGAGAAGCCGGAAAATCTCTAGCTTTGGGTAAATTCACAATGAAATGACCAGTGCTCTGGACCCAGGTCTTGCCGTTCTTCTGTGCCCCGGGACTGCTGTGATTTCTTTTTTTTAAATGGAATGAAATGTCTCAAGGTTTCAGGAAAAGAACTCTTGAGAAACCATA